AGAAAAATGGAAATTGAGAGTTAAACTAGATAATTTTGTAGTTATTTTTTTATTCTTTCATTGTTTGAAATTGATATCTAGACGTGAGTTTGACTCGTTTAATAAACAAGCCGAGCTCAAGATCGGGCTCGTTTAGTTAATGAGTCTAGCCGAACTCTGTTTGTGAAGTTCGAGAATTGGGGTTCTTATGTAATTTTTTAAAATTCCACCTTGGTTCGCTTTGTTAAGATTCGAATTTGACTAATTAGTATTGATAAACGAGTCAAATTCGTCTTTGTTTAATTGATGAGCCGAACTTGTCTCAACCTGATAATGACTCGAGTTCAGCTCGTTCACAACTCTACTCAAAGTCTCAAACCACACCCGAAAGTCTTCCCCACACAGAAAGACTGATCTTAGACATGAATAGTTGCTAGGCAAATATTGTTTATTTTTATCATATATGCATATTTTCATATTGAAAATGTCATACTTAATGAAATAAGTTTGAACAAAAGTATAATATTTCATAGTATAAATATACATATTTTTGTTCTAAAAAATATGATGAGTTAACACGATTCATGATTAGACAACCTAACATAAGCATTTCTGATACCCAATTTGTCATTCATTATTTATAAGGCAGTCTTATATTGAGAAATGTTTCCCTATCCATGGTGGGCACATGTTAATATAACCACCGCTTATGTGGCATGCATACATTGGTGATGTATTTTTTTAATATATTAACATCACCAGTATGTGCATGCAAGACATATTAACATGTGTCCACTGTGGGTAGGGGAGCAGTTCCGGACTTATATAATAGAACCCCACACACATATATTGACGTAACCTTTTTTGCAGGACAATCGCATAAGTACATTACCATAAAAACCACTGTCTAACCACACCAGAAAACACAGAGAAGGTTAACTAAAAGTACTTAAAGCATATAAAGATGGTTTGTTCATCCCTAAGCTGCTTTAGCAAACCCGACTCTCAGTTTGCCATAGTCGAACACCGTGTGATACGGACCCATGAAAATATCTCCCAAAATCCTGCAATGCCATCCAAATGCCCCATCAATAGAGAAAATCATAATAAATATTTTTCCTCTTTTTCTTTTCGAAACAAAAAAAAGGGGCAAATTTACCAAAGAGGTCCACGTGGAGGAGGAATATCGAGACCCGTAAAACCGCTTACGCATTGTGCTCGGGCACCCTCACCCACCTTGAGTATGTACTGTGATTAAGACCGAAAATTAGCTGATAGGGCTAGCTGACAGCTGATAATTTAGTTGATAGCTTATAAGTGAACTTCGAGTTTATATCTAATAGATTATGGCTTATGACTGAAAAGCTAGGTAATAGGATAAGAGTATTTGATGAAATTAGCTGATAATACAACTGAAATAAAAATTTCAACCAGCTTATTTAAAAAGCTACCCAATGAAGCTTATGATATAAGCTCCAAAACTAAACTTATTTGAATACAGAAAGCTTATAAGCTAATCAAATAAGGTATAAACTAGCTTATGGAGCTTACCAAAGACACTTTTAGCAATTTTTCTTCTCTTAAAAAGGTAAAAGAAAAAAAAATGATCGGGTTCTTGGAAAGCAATGTTACTAGGTGTTAGTCGTACCTGATTTGGCGAAAGATCAAAGACTTTCCCACCGATCGTGAAGGAAACACTCGGCATAGATGAAATGCTTGAACAGTCGACAATCGATTCTCCCATTGGATTAGGCATCTTCTCGCAAAGCTGCACGAAAATTGTTAATCAAAAGGCACATAGATTATTAGATTAGCCAAAAACAGAGATAAAAAAATGTTCTTTGTTGTTAAAAAAAAAAAAAGAAATTACAAAATCGAAAAAAGTGTTACCTCGTTGACATATTTCAGAATGTGGACTTGAGTATTGTTCTGCCTCAGCTCGTTTTGCATCCAAACAACTGCCATCTCACATGCAGGGCACATGCCGTCTGCTTTCTCATCCACGACACTCTCGATTCCCACACTTTCACGTAAAAAAGGGAAAAAAAAACACAGTAAAAGTAAAATTAATTCCAACACTAAAACATTGTACGCTTAAAATATTGTCCGGCAAATTTCATATTCACGAATTATTTTTACTAGCTACCTCACACCACGAGTTCCATCAAACGTGCATATCCCAAGTTGGGAGCATATCTTTCGTGGCTTTACCTGTAGTGAAAGAACAATAGCTAAAAATCTAACACAGAACATCAAAATGACCAAAAAAAAAGAAAAAGAAAAGAAAATGGCACAAGTTTTTCGACCTTTGCCAAGAGAAGATCCATAATATTTTGTCCGTATTTGCCAATCACGGACTTGCATTCCTGGCTAACAATTCCAGTTGCTCCTATTTCACGGTTAATCATGGCAACTATGGTCTGAAAAACACACGAAAAGTTGTATACAATTTGAGAAGAACAAAAGGAATAATTAGTCAAACGGCAACTAGTTTCGAATGAGCAGAGTAACTTACGCTTGGACCAGCAATTAGAGAAGTCCCGGAGTCTGCAATAGCCGAGCACCCGCCATCACAATAACCTGAAAAAATCTCAATATAGTTCATATCAAAATTTACGCACCAAATTTTTTTGAAA